CGGCCGCCGTCGCTGACGGCGCGCGCGGCGTCCCCGGCGCCCCCCGCGCGCTCCCCCCCGCGATCGTCCACGGCAACGCGTTCGAGCCCGTCGCGCGCGCGCACTACGCGCGCGTCGAGCGCGAGACGGTGCACGAGTTTGGCCTGAAAACGCACGACCGGCTGCCGTGGCTCGCCGCGACGCCCGACGGCGTCGCCGCCGCGAGCGGCGCGGTGCTCGAGATCAAGTGCCCGTACTCGCGCCCGGTCCTGCCGAGGACGCGTCTGAGGGAGCACTACCCGCAGCTGCAGGTGCTGATGCGCGTGTTCGACCTCGACGAGTGTCACTTCGTGCAGTTCAAGCCGCCCGGCGTGGGCGTCGGACGCGCCGGCGTCATGAACGAGGATCGGCCGCTGTACCTGAGAGAGACGGTGAGAAGGGACGACGGGTGGTGGGACGCGAACGAGCCGCGGTTGAGGGCGTTTCACGGCGAGCTGGAGCGCGCGCTCGCGCGGCGGGAGGAGGCGATCGCGCGGCTCGGCGGCGGCGGCGGAGGCGGAGGCGGAGGAGGAGGAGGCGAGTCGGGCGAATAAGAAAACTGAGGATAGACTCTAGCTAGAGCTGCGATGACGTCGGCGTGGTCGGCCTCGACGCGCGTCCACGTCGTCGCGGGGACGACAGCAGCGCCTCGCGAGCTTTACGATACGCGGCCTCGTTCCTCACGGAGCTGCGCTCCGAGCGCGGCGGCGTCGCCGTCGGCGGCGGCTCGTTTTCTCGTCCCTCGTCCTCGTCCGCGTCGTCGTCGTCAAACTCTGGCGACATCGGCGGCGTGGACGGCAGCGCGCCGTCCGACGCGGGCGGTCCCCGGTACCCGTGCCTCTTCGCTTCCTCTTCCAGCCACTTGCGCACGTGCGGGCTCGGCCGCGGCGATTTAGACGTCGAGCGGCGCGGCGACGGCGTGCGCGAGCGCGACGGCGATTTCGCCGTCGCGTTCGGCATCGGCGGAAGGGACCCGAGCGGCGACGACGACGACGCGTCCTTCTTCCCCGTGACCGGCGTCTTACTCGTCGTCGCGAACGGGTTCGGGTTCGGGTTCGAGTTCGAGTTCGGGTTCCTCGGCTCCGCGCCGTCGAGCTCCGACTCACGCCCGGTGTCGTAGGCGTCGTCGTCCTCCTCCGCCGCCTCCTCCTCCTCCTCTGGCGGCGGCGTCCTCCCTCCGCCGCCGCCGCCGCTCGCGAGCTCTCGAAGCCGCGATTTCCGTCGCAACTCGCGCGGCGTCGCCGGGGACGCGCCCGCGAGAGGTTCGACGTGCGCGCGCGTCTTCGCGCGCCACCGCGACGCGGAGGCGACCGCGGACGCCGCGCCTTTCGCCGCGGCGAACGGGCTCGCGGGGCCGCGGGATAATCCGCCGCCGGAGCCGCGCGCGAACGACAGCGCGCCGAGCGCGGCGTCAACCTTGGACGGTCTCGGCGCGTCGAAGAACTCCACGAACGGATCTTCTAGGGCCCCGAATTCGTCGTCGAAGTCGTCTTCGTCTTCCGCGTCGCTTCCGAAGCGCGAATCATCCCCGTCGTCGCCGTCGAGCGCGGCTTCCGCGGCGACCGCCGCCGCCGCCGTCGTGGACTCGAGCATCCAATCCCCGGCCCACCGTCGCATCTGCGTCGCGCGCTCGATCGAGACGCCCGCGACGTCGTCGCGGGCGCCGCCGGTGCGCATCCACCGCGCGAGCGGCGGCGAGGCGCCGTCGGACGCGTCGAGGAAACCCGCCGCGTCCGCGTCCTCGTCCGCGTCGCCGCCGTCGTCGCCGCCGCCGTCGCCGTCCTCCTCCTCCTCCTCCTCCTCCTCGCCGCCGCCGCCACCGCAAAAAATCACCGCGTCGACGACGAGCTCGGGCGTCTGCCCTCGCCACGCGATCGACGCGTACGACGCCAGCGCCGCGCACGCGAGCGCGATCCCGGGCGAGGCCGTGGACCCCGACAGCGCCGCCGCCGCGCGCGCCAACGCGTCCTTCTCCCACGCGTCGTCGCCGTCGATTTTCGCGCGAGCGTCGAGCCACGCGACGAGCAACGCCGCCGCCGCCGCGCCGCGCGCTCTGGAGACGTCCGCGCGCGCCGCCGCGACCGCGAGCGACGTCAGCGTCACGTCCCACGTGCGCGACCCCCACTCCGCGGCGACGCACAGCGAGACGCACACGTCGTTGAAAAAACCCGCGCGCGCGTCGTCGTCGTCGTCGACCGACTCGGGCTCGTTCGCCGCCGGCGACGTCACCGCGCCGCGCAACGGCGCGGACGCGCGACTCTTCCTCTT